TTGTTTTTGTTTTGAGATGGAGTCTCGTTCTGTCACCCAGACTGGAGTGTAGTGGCACAACACACACACACACACACACACACACACTCTCTCTCTCTCTCTCTCTTACATTTGTGTGTTTTATGAATATTGCAAGCTAGTAAAAAATATCCATGAAACAGTAGTTGCCACTAAGGAAACTAATGAGAGTTTAAATTTTTTATTTCCTACTTTATATATTTCTATTTTTAAACTTTTAAAGTAGCAAACAAAAATAACATACAGTATGAGTGGAAACTGATATAATCTTTCTGGAAAGCAACCTGCTAATGCAGATCAAAAACCTTGTGAGTGTTCATACCCCATGACACAGTTAATACCATATCTAGGAATATATAATAGATAAAGCCAAATATTGATATACAAGGATGTTCACTATGGTATACTTTATGATAATGAAAAACTGGAAACAGATCATTTTAACTTATTTAAAGGACTGTTTAAATCACAGTAAGGCCACAGGGTAGAATACAATGCAGTTATGAAAAATGATATTGGAAGCTGGGCGTGATGGCTCATGCCTGTAATCCCAGCACTTTGGGAGACTAAGGCAGGTAGATCACTTGAAGTCAGAAGTTTGAGACCAGCCTGGCCAACACGATGAAACCCTGTCCCTAATACAAAAAATTAGCCAAGCGTGGTGGTGGGTGCCTGTAGCCCCAGCTGCTCGGGAGGCTGAAGCAGGAGAATCACTTGAACCTGGGAGGCAGAGATTGCAGTGAGTCAAGATCACGCCACTGCACTCCAGCCTGGGCAACAGAGTGAGACTCTACCTCAAAAAAAAAAAAAAAGATATTGCAGAGGATTATGTAACACCAAAAAGTGATCATGGCACAATATGATGTCAAACCTTTTTTGCTTAAAAATATATATACACCACCAATTTTGCTTAAAAATATATATACACATATAGAAAAAAACCATATGTTAGATAATCAGAAAACTCCCTATATGTTTCATTCATTCATTTTATTGATTGATTGACTGAGATGGAGTTTCGCTCTTGTTGCCCAGGCTGGAGTGCAATGGCGCGATATCGGCTCACCGCAACCTCAACCTCCACCTCCTGGGTTCAAGTGATTCTCCTGCCTCTCCCAAGTAGCTGAGATTACAGTCATGTGCCACCATGCCTGACTAATTTTGTATTTTTTAGTAGAGATGGGGTTTCTCCATGTTTGTCAGGCTGGTCTCAAACTCCCGACCTGAAGTGATCCACCCATCTCAGCCTCTCAAAGTGCTGGGATTACAGGCATGAGCCACTGCACCCAGCCCATTTTATTTATTTTTAACATTTTTTTCCCTATACATTTTAAATGTTTCCCTGTTTTTCTTTTCCCTGAAAGAAAAGCTGCCACCAGCTATAACTGCTTTACCACCCACCCCTCAAACCCTTTGCAGCCTGGTCTCTTCCCCATTACACTCCAGAAATTACTGACGATTTTCAGTCATCTAATAATCCAATTACTGCATTTTTTCAGTTCTCATCTTCCAACTTTTCTGCAGCATTTAACATTTTCTCTTTTTCTCATTTCCTTCTCCTTTCCTTTCCTTGGTCTTCCTATTACTGGGCCATGTTCCTGCCAACTAAATTGTAAGTATTTCACCCTTTTTTCCTTGGCAGTAATCTTATCTACTTCCTAAGTCTCATACTATTTCTTACTTTAGACCAGTCCATGGCCATAATTTTAACTGCAAAATAAGTGTAACATATCCTTTTAAATTACTTTAAATTTAATATATATTGCTTAATTTTTTTTTTTTTTTTGAGACAAAGTCTCACTCTGTTGCCCAGGCTGGAGTGCAGTGGCATGATCTTGGCTCATTGCAACCTCTGCCTCCTGGATTCAAGTAATTTTCATGCCTCAGCCTCCCAAGTAACTGGGATTATAGGTGTACACCACTACACCTGGCTAATTTTTGTTTTTTTTTAGTAGAGACGAGTTTCACCATGTTGGCCAAGCTGGTCTTGAACTTCCAACCTCAGGTAATCTGCCTAGGCCTCCCAAAATGCTGGGATTACAGGCGTGAGCCACCACGCCCAGCCTCTATATGTCTCGATTTAAAAACAGTAACTTGGCTGGGTGTGGTGGCTCACGCCTGTAATCCTAGCACTTTGGGAGGCAGAGGTAGGTGGATCACGAGGTCACGAGTTCAAGACCAGCCTGGCCAAGATGGTGAAACCCCATCTCTACTAGAAATACAACAAATTAGCTGAGTGCAGTGGCAGGCGCCTGTAATCCTAGCTACTTGGGAGGCTGAGGAATGAGAATCGCTTGAACCTGGGCGGCAAAGGTTGCAGTGAGCCGAGATCATGCCACTGCACTCCAGCCTGGGCAACAGAGTAAGACTCCATCTCAAAACAAACAAACAAAAAACCACTTATGCTGACCCCTTTCAGCATAAACTATCATATACAGGAGACACAAATGACTCAAATATAGGAAAAATAAATGACTCACCAATTGTATAAACAACTTCAACATCATCCATTTGGGAATCAGTAATGCTGTTCTTGGCTTCACCTTTAACTTCCCCAAGAAGAAAACCTTCCTATGAAGATAAAGAGGCAGTATATGGAATACACTGATAGAATTACTGTTCAGTCACTTAACTAACCAGTATTTCCTGGATATTTTACTACATATACAAGTATATGCTACCAGTTGGAGGCACATGAAAGATCTAAGATGCTTCTAGCTTACTTGGGAAACATGAAGAATTAAATAAAAATGAGAAGAGGCCAGGCACAGTGGCTCACACCTGTAATCCCAGCACCTGAAGACCATGGTGGGCAGATGGCTTGAGCCCAGGAGTTCAAGACTAGCCTGGGCAACACAGTAAAACCCCTCTTCAAAAACAAACAAAAAAAAGTAGGCATGCTACCACACGCCTATAGTCCAAGCTACTCGGGATCACCTAGGCCTAGGAGGTTGAGGCTGCAGTGAGCTGCGATCACGCCACTGTACTCCAGCCCAGATGACAGAGTAAGACCCTGTCTCAAAAGAAAAAAAGTAGAAATAAAGAGGGGAGGAAGGGGAAAGAGATTAGTCCGGCCCGAAATAATTAGAGAAGGCCCTGGAGAGCAAGCACAGATTAGACTTTAAAGGGCTGGGCAATGTTTGTGTAGGCAGGGCATGGAACACTCAGCACACTTGTAAGGATAGAAGACTTAAAGCCAGAAATGAGCACACACTGAGCAATGAGTAGAGCACTTTGCCTTGGAGCAGAAGGAAATCAAAGATAAATTAGAGCCAGCCAATAATGGAACACCCCGAATGACTAGCCAAAGAGTCTGGATTTAACCACATGTGCTTCTGGGAGTTAGAGAAAGCTTCAAAGTTATGAAATGACATGATTAGTGTTTTCTGATTAAAACTCATGCACAATATGAAACATTAAAATTCAATTTCAGAGTCTGCTTTCTAAAAGGAGTGCTGAGCGCCTAATTCTTTTAAAACTACTTGTATTCTGCCACCCCAGTGGTAATTTATCTGAGTTTCGGAGAATTAAATTTCTCTAGGCACACTTAAAGATCCAAAGTGCTTGACAGACAATGAAGATTTTATGTCTTTTTTTTTTTTTTTTTTACAAGGGTCTAGCTCTGTCACCCAGGCTGGAGTGCAGGGGTGCAATCACTGCTCACTGCAGCTTTGACCTCCCAGGCTCAAGCAATCCTCCTGCCTCAACCTCCCAAGTAGCTGGGACTATAGGCATGTGCCACCACATTGGGCTAATTTTTAAAATTCTTTTGGCCGGGCGTGGTGGCTCACGCCTGTAATCCTAGCACTTTGGGAGGCCGAGGTGGGCGGATCACGAGGTCAAGAGATCGAGACCATCTTGGCCAACATGGTGAAACCCCGTCTCTACTAAAAATACAAAAATTGGCTGGGTGTAGTGGCACAAGCCTCTGGTCCCAGCTACTTGGGAGGCTGCGGCGGAATAATCACTTGAACCCAGGAGGTAGAGGCTGCAGTGAGCTGAGATTGCGCCACTGCACTCCAGCCTGGCGACAGAGCAAGACTCTGTTTTTAAATTAAAAAAAAAATTTGTAGACATAAGGTCTCCTTATGTTGCCCAGGCTGGTCTTTAACTCCTGGGCTCTAATGATCCTGCTGCCTCTGCCTCCCAAAGTGCTGGGATTACAGGAAGATTTTATATTCTTTATAAATAATGCTTTCCCCCCTAAAAGTAAAAAAGGAGTATTTCCATAATATGAGTCTTTACTGGAATCACGCGGGGGGGATATCCAGAATCTAGCATTCTTGATTTTGATACTCCCAAAGGCAAACTCAGGGAAGGGAAGCAGGGGCAATGCAAGTGCAACTACCCAGAAAAACCATCCTTTAAAGACATTCAGACATTCACAAAAAGATCTGAGAAACAGGGGTCTCTCTAGCACTCAGGTACTTCCCAAGGGCTAATCCTTTAAGCTACAGAGGACTTAAGGACCCATTCTACCTACACTAAAGACGTTCAAAAATAATTTCCACAGCTACACATATATTTTAAATTGTCATATATTTGCTCTTTACTGGGTATTTATAAGGTTATATGAAATTGTATAAATAAAATATACCAATTCTAACCTTTATTAGGATTGTACTAGAAAGCAATTTTGTAATTTTTATATTTTGTAGAGACTGGGTCTCACTAGGTTGTCCCTTCATGGGCTCAGGTGATCCACCCGCCTCAGCCTCCCAAAGTGCTGGAATTACAGGTGTGAGCCACCACGCCCCGCCTATATTAAGGCAATTGTAAGACAGACTTTATATCTTAAAATGAACTTAGCAGAAATTACTAGGCATTGTACAGCAGGATATTCTCCTAACTGTATTACACAGCAGGGAGGTGTATTTTAGATGCTTAGAATTTCTTTCTGCAAGTTACTGAAAGTACTACAGGACATAAACTACTTCCGAGCTCAAAGTTTTACAGTGTTTCTTTGATTCACAAAACTTCTAGAAAATAGGCAATGTACTTTAAAAAACTGTTTTAACAAATTTAATAACGCAAATAAAAAGTTATCTTATATACCAGATTAAGCTGTTCCATCCACTAAGATTTGCCAAAAAAGAGCCACTGGATGCAACATCATTTTTATTCCCTTACCATCCTACCATCTCACAAACCCGCGTAGGCGCTGCCCCGCACGAAAAAGTCCGGCTGGCTTTGCAAACGCCTGTCGGGCGTCGCGAGAAACGGAAAGTTAACCGCAGGCTCCGCAGAGCAGCGGGAGGACGCTCCATGAACTTTCCATCTTTTCACGCCCAAGTTTCCACAGCGAAAGGGGCGCTGAGGCAAGATGGGGGCTTGTGGGACACTTGGGTCGGAAAAGGGAAATACACGGAGGGTAGCAAAGGGAAGGCTAATGCTGGAGACGACTTCGTGAGCACGCGACATCTGAGGGACCGCTGAGGGGGAGAGAAGGCAGAGCCGCGACAGCCGGGAGGAGGCGCGGTGACGTCGGGGGTGCCCGCGGGCGAGGACCGGGGCAACTGCGGGGAGGCAGGCCGCGCGCAGGGCTCTTCCCAGGCGACGCCGGACCCCGCCCCGTCCCTCGGCTCACCGTGTCCGAGTCCGTGTTGAGGTGCTGGAAGGCGAGTGCGCCGAGCACAAAACCCGAGAGCACTGCCGACGTGCTCTCGCCCTCCATGCTGCCGCCGCCGCCGCCTCCGGCTGCACTAGAGGTCTAGTGCCGGGTGCGCAGGGCCCGGATCCTGTGGCGGCGGCGAGGCGGGGCCCGAGCAGGGGGCGTGGCCCAGCGAGGGGGCGGGGCCTGCGCCGGCGCACGGGCCGCTGTGCTCCAGGGACGGGGCTAGGGGGTTGAGGACCGGCGCGGGCGGTCCCCAGCCACGCGCTCGGCTCATCCTTTGCTTCTGCTGGCGGTTTCTCCCGGAGGGCGGCTCCGTGCCGGCACCACTGCACAGGGCCGCGAATTGCGTTTTGGTGGCCTGCGACTGCTGAGCAACCTGTCACAAAGATGCAAAGCTAGCAAAATGAACACGATTGACAGGGTCATTTTAAGACCAGCAGTGGTTACAAGAATAAAAGAGTTGCGTAGCAACGTTACGATACTACAATGGATATGCTACGATGGATATGTTTTTAGGTTTGAAACTGCATTTTAGTGCCCCTCACTCACTGAAACGTCTAGAATACTAATAACCATTTGGGGTTGTCTCTTCTAGAACTCTCCAGTCATGCTCTGTTACCTTGCTTTTAGAAAACTTCAGCCTAATTTAAACAATACATGGATTTGTAATGTTCTGACAGTTTCATGCTGGGCATAATCATAGTGTGCTGGTTCATTTAATGTAAATGATAAGGTGAGTGGACACACACACGTAAAGCTATGCTTTTTAAATGACTGAAAGTCAGCATAATATCAGACTACTGAATTAGTGTGGCACATTTGTGGGTTTTGTTGTCCAGCAGTCGTGTTTGGCTGAGTAACACACAATATATATATACACATATATATACATATATATGTGTATATATATGTATATATATAATGCTTATATATTTATTCCCTACAATTAAGTTTCTTGCCTTAATTTTGTAGGGGTGAAGGGAAAGCTCTGCCCTCTAAAGGTTCACTGGCGTGAACTAGCAAAAGAAAAGATGAACAGAAGAAAAGGGCATACAAATTTATTTTTAATTTTTACTTTTTGGAGACCAAGTCTCACTCTGTTGCCCAGGCTGGAGTGCAGTGAAAGCATCTCCGCTCACTGCAGCCTCCGCCTCTCGGGTTCAAGAGGTTCTTCTGCCTCAGCCTCCTGAGCAGCTGGGATTACAGGCACCTGCCACTAAGCCTGGCTAATATATTTTGTGTTTTTATTAGAGACGAGGTTTCACCTTGTTGAGCAGGCTGGTCTCGAACTCTTGACCTTAGGTGATCTGTCAGCCTCAGCCTCCCAAAGTGCTGGGATTACAGATGTGGCCAGTGCTCCTGGCATACAAATTTATTAATATGCCCTGGAGAAAATCACAGGAGAGTGATTACCCAATAACCCCATGAGGTTCAGATGCTTATGTACACTTTTTCATAGGGGAGAGGGAGATGGAGGAATGTAAGTACTTTTGAGGGCACTAATGATTATTTGGATGAGCCTGAGAGATGGACGATTGCTTGCAAAGGATTCTTTTTGGACGTTGGATGAGCCCAAGCGGAAATCAATGGCTTCGGACAAAGTTCCTCTGGGCTCTAGATTTGATATTTGACTTTCAGCCTTCTTGCAGTCAGTAGATAATGAAATTTCAATGAAGGGGTGGAAGACAATTGTTGTAGGGTTGACAATGAGTGGACAGGCATGCAGGAGTATGATTATACAAAGGGAGTATGGTCTAATGGTAATAAGCCGGGGGAACTTAGCATAGACTGTTAGTTCAGGCTCTTCTCTGTGTCCTTGTGTCTTCAGAGGTAAGGATGTTCCTTTTCTCTATGTAAGGGGAGGGGGCCTCTCAAATGGGGGTCTTATGACCTACTTCAGGGAAGAACACCAGGTTTTATGGCCTGCCTCAGGGCAGATGGCCAGAGTATTCTTTCAATGGTTTATGGCCTGCTTCAGGGGAAAAGGAGTGAGGGGAAGGTGAAAATGACCTCTTTGCTTTTGCTGTTTTCTCAAATGCTCAGGTGCTGTGTTATTTTGGAGTAGTGCGTCCTGAACCCCATCACTAGTTTTACTGCCTGCAGTCCAGAGCAGCACAGTAGATGAACAAAATATTCTTTCCAAAGCCAAAAAATCTGGGGTACGAGTGGCAATAAAGAAATAGTAGAGGAGAGTAAAGGAATAAATAAATGGGTTATATAATGAGGGAAATCCAATATTCATTAAGACCTTCAAAGAAACTCAAAGCAAGGGATGATATTGTCTCTTAGCTCAATTACATCAGATGGCTGAAATAAGGAAGATACATATTGCTAAGAACTCTGCTTTTGAAACCTGAAGAGATCAAATGGAAGCCTGAGTGGCCACGCCCCAGGAGGCATATTCATATGATAGGCTGACGACTGGACAGATTATTAATGACTGAATGGGGTTTTAGAAATGTGCCGCTGTCTTTTAACTCTTATGATTCTTTTGCTATAAGGAATCGGTGGTCAAAGATAAAGGATTGGTCGTAGTATAGTAAAAACGAAAATAAAAATTTAGTCTTTGTCCTGAGTTCCTGGCATGGAGCTTCTAAAACCTTAGGAATTTATTGGTTTTTGTATGCTCAAGAATGACTCATGGGAGAGTGTATGTCCGTTCTTGCACTGCTATAAAGAAATATCTGGCTAGGAACAGTGGCTCATGCCGGTAATCTCAGCACTTTGGGAGGCCGAGATGGGTGGATCACCTGAGGACAGGAGTTCAAGACCAGCCTGATCAACATAGGGAAACTCCATCTCTATTAAAAATAAAAAAAAACTGGCCGGGCACGGTGGCTCAAGCCTGTAATCCCAGCACTTTGGGAGGCCGAGGCGGGTGGATCACGAGGTCAAGAGATCGAGACCATCCTGGTCAATATGGTGAAACCCCGTCTCTACTAAAAATACAAAAAAAATTGGCTGGGCATGGTGGCGCGTGCCTGTAATCCCAGCTACCCAGGAGGCTGAGGCAGGAGAATTGCCTGAACCCAGGAGACGGAGGTTGCGGTGAGCCGAGATCGCGCCATTGCACTCCAGCCTGGGTAACAAGAGC